AAACAGAATTCAAGCACCCACGTTATATAAACTCTATAACAAAAACGATTGTCAAATTTTTGGGAAAAACTTCATGATACTGATCTAAACTACTAAAAATTCTTGAAATCATCACAATATCCTTTGAACTAAAGATGCCCACAAAATCCTTATCGTTTATAACGCAGTTGTCCACGGGTGAGTTAAAATGAGTTAAATTAAATTAACCGAAAATTGAGCTAAATTATACACCGTTTTAAATGCGCTATGGGGAGGAATTACTTTTTGCAAATTAAAGTTTCAACCACATAAATCAAAAATGCTTGAATAATTTTTAAAGCACAAAATATAATCTTCCATTTGTCCTTCAAAAAATAGCTGCAATATTAACTACTATAAAATCAAATTTTCAAGAGATTTAATTCTATGAAGAAACTCAAGAATTTATGTCTCCAAAAGTGTTCTTTTTATTTGAACATTCTACCATTTTATAAATTAGAATTCTCCTTTGACATATGATTCTATCCTTTAAGTTAATTTTCGAATTTCTCAAAATTCACTCGGTTTGAATTTTTGTTTAGATGAAAGTAATGTCAAGATAGAACATTTTTTTAAATAGATAAATCACATGGTCAAATAACCACAACTAGTGTTATTTTCAGTTTTAATAAAACCTTATAAATTAAACACTTTTAATGACTTTGATAAGCCATTTGGGCGGAATATGTGAAGGGTAAACTGTATAACCCAAGAGTTTCACAAGATTAGGCCCATAAAGTTATTTATTTTTTTAAGTAACTTCCTCCTGCAATACCGGAAACCACTCAAGGTATGTTCGAACTGGAAGCAGTCACTATAGCAAATTAATTAAACTCCTCAAGAAAGGCGTTCATAGTACCTGACTCCGAGAGAACGAAGTTATTCTGAAGTCTCACTTACTGGCACTCCCTTTATGCCACTCCTGTTATAGGTAAGAATTGATCAGTGCCGTTAGAAACCCACACATCTGAATTTGTTCAAAGTTGGCTAGGATCTCGTGACCCTTGGCACAGCAGATGCACACGCCAACCGCCGTATTACCAGTACAAGAATTTTACCTTCCCCTCTCATCCACACTCATAGCTGGAAGCAAAGCTTCTTGGCTGGCTAAATGGATATTCAAGCAATTTCAAACCCACGGTTACTTATGAACAAGAATGAACTTTCTTCTGGAGAGAGGTGAAGAGATTCATACTCAGGTGATTCTTCTTCGAGCTTCTTGGTACAATAATGGAATCCCTAAATTCAATAGCCTGTTTTTTTTGGTTATTTCACTGACGAGTTATCTACAGATTGGAATCTTTATTAAAATGATTTTGTCTTTTTACCCTTTATTCTACTTTTTTGGGAGGGTAAAATATTTAGTCACCTAATCATTTGAGGCATTTTCCCAAAAGTCAGTGTATCCCTCCTTATCTTCAAGGCTCACACACAATTTTCTCTTAGCAATTAACATAAAACACTGAAGAGGATTAAGTAGCACTCGAAAGCTAAGTCCAGAGTAGGGAGGGTGCTTTCAAAGTCATGATCTCCTTCCCTTCCCCAAACCTCAGACTTAGAAGGGATTTTGCAGCTAATTACCAACTAATCTACCCCTTATTAAAATCCATCAAATTAAAAAGGGACCCGACGGGGTAGTTAAAAAATTGTTAAATGGAAATTCACCATAAGAATCGAGCAACTGGTTAAATCTTAAATATTGATCAACATGCGACATGAATGTTTGCATGTTTAGTGGATTGCAATTGTTACCTGTAATTAAATTTTATTATTTTCAAAGTTCGCGAGAAAACATGTGATTTGTGCAATGTTCAATGAAGAGAAACGAATTTTAATGAGTTAAGACCTGAAAATTTAAGATTTTAATTAATGCTAATTTGGAATCGGTGTCAATTTCCTTTCTTGTATTTTTATAACAGGTTTATAACTGGGGTCAAAATTTTGTTAGAGAATATATAGAATCGTTCTCTTCATCTTCCTGTATTTTTAACTAATTAACAAAACTCCGGATATTCTGGTAGGTCTGTTAACGAGAAAGGACAAAAATAATTATCACAGTTCAAAATGTGCACTTGTGGGACATGTCCCCGTCTAACACGTGAACGCACAGCCAATGACCAATCAGAAGCCTACGTTGTTTAATCGAATCCGCCATGTTGATTATGAATAACCCTAAGGTGTGCACATTTTGCCACAATATGCATCCTAAATAAACGTGTTCCAAGGGATACGTCTGTCCTCTCTATAGTTGGGTTGTAGCTTAGCTAGTTCTAGGAGTCCAGCTAGATAAAGGAGAATCAACCAGGGAGATTTCCGAGTCAATCAAGGTTTTACTAGTGTAGCCTATATCACATTTAAAATATTTAAATTTGAAAGTTGACAACTTATGTCGGACGTCATTTATTTTATTTATTGAGTTTGGAATAATTGCTTAATCTCGTCTATTGCTTAATGAAAAATTCTTCATCCATCTTAACCTGCAATTATACTTGAATGAAACTTGGTAAAAACTATGGGAAATAGGGCCCGCATATAAAGGACCTATGCGTTGACTAATAGATGCATTCAGTTACAATACTATTTCGTAACCTGGGGGTGGGGGGTGGGGGCGTAGATTTCTAGGTCCTTAATCCACTATATTGAGTGAAATGGCCGATAACAAAATTTTGTTCACATGCCGGTTTGCAGTAGTTGGAGCAGCCCTCATTGTTAGCAAAATTGAATGCTAAACTAACTTTGGCTTAGCACTTTCAAGAATAGTACATTTCGATACGTGATAATATCTATTCATAGTTCAAAATTCCTTAACACATTAACAGGGTTATAGTAAAATAGGCTGAATAATGACAAAGATGGATGAAAAGTAAAAAACTTATTAAAATAATTGAAATAACAACTACTCAAATCTCTTTGCTTGAAAATATTTTCGTCGGTAGCTTGAAATAATTTTGTTAATTTATTACATTAACTAATGCGTCCTTTCACATAATGCTTCCAAACTTCAGACTGTTTTATAAATTAAAAGTAAGGATTTTCTTGAATATGACCATCTGAACGTAGATCACAAGGCAAGTTCGGTAAAGATTTCCAAATCCCAATTGGGTTATTGTCATTGTCCTCTATGGCCTCACGCTTTAGTGTATTAAAACTTAAAGGGGTTGCATCACGTCACTTATACTGTAGCATAAATTTAGATAATTGCCTTAAAAGGAGATTAATTGCCTTCATTCTTAATCATTTAAAAATTTCATATAAGAGCCAGATATGTCATAGCTGTGCGCTAGTAGTTCTTAGAATTTTCAATTACTTGAGTAAGTTTACCTTATTACCACATTGTCACTTTAATAAGGAAATTGTAGCTACTTGAAGGACTGATAAAATTTTAACAATTTGTAAGGTGATGGCCGTTGAACCGCATTACCACTAATTTCATTGGTTCGCTAAATGGAGTACTTCGGAAAACCCAGAACAGAAGAAATCCACAACCCGTCAGTAATGCGATGGGTCCAGTGTTGAACAACCTATGCTCTGGTAAAACTCTAATGGGATTGTCTTTGTTTGGCAAAACTTGACCAAACTACAAACGTTTGCTTTAGACCATGATATCAATTTGTTCTGGGATCTTGGCTGTTTGGGAATCAAAGCCATACCAAATACGTATAATTAATTTCTAATAACTTTATGTTTTATAAAAGTGAAAGGATACTTCAAAAGTAAAAAGTGGTGGTTGCCTTTACGTTTCGTTGTTTATTGAAAATATGTTCAGTTTTAAATGGCAACAAAAATTTATAATCATATCATGCCAATAATTTATAAAAAAAGCAATCGCCATTTTCTTAACTTGGAAGGTGATTAAACTGAAATGTTAAGACCCTTATAAATTGATACATTTTGCTTGAAGTTCGAACATTAATTGATGAAAAAGGAGAGTTAATTGGAAAAATAAAAAAGCTATTTATCATATATATTTTAAAATATACTGTGTAAAAAATAACTATTAAAGGAATAGTTTAATCTTAGTGGCATCATTAATGGTCTTATATCGAAATTATATTCAACCGTAAATGGTAATCGAAAGATAAAAAACATTTTTTAATAAATGTATATTTTTAGGAACACTATTTTGCTAAACCATAAATTCAACAGCAATAGTTATTGGATAAGTTCCAATCTTGAACATTTGATATATTTTCATGGACTAAATGGAAATGTTAAAAATGGGAGTTACTTTAAAGAGGTGTAAGTTGCAATTGAGATTTTTCGCCCAGTCGCATCCTTTATAGATCTACATATATACGTTTTATTACAAGTAACAAATAAATGAGGTTTATGATAATATTACCTCAACGTAGTGCACCCTGGGCAACGTATAGTCATACGGCAACAGAGTCTTTTATTTGGCAGTTAACTTCCGACTTCAAAATACCATCACCCCACTGTATGTCATATTCGACTACTTCGACAGTACTCACTCACATTTTTCAATCTACCTTTGTGTCTGTCTCTTTTACATCTTTGAAATACTCTTCTGTCCCCCCTCTCGAATTTTTTTCACTTTGATTTTCCTTTCTCTTGGTGAAGCCAGATGTCAACTAAAGGGCCAATGATGACTATTACAATGCTTGTCATTTGATATAAATAAATAAATATTTTCTCACTATCGGAATTATCGAATTTGAAAAAAAGTTAAATATTTCAAATTTCTGCCATATTTCTGCACAACGTACAAAATAAATTGATTTTATAAGCTGAAATTATTTGTTTTAATACTTAAATTATTTGACGCTCACTGGGTACTTCATTCGAATAAACTGCAGGTCTAGTGTTCGTGTAGGTCTCAGGGACATTTGATATGTTTCACAATTCTACCACAAATTTTTGAATCTTTTTATTTACTTCAAATCGCGATAATTTTATTTCATTTATAAGGATGAATTATTTAGATTTTTATGTCTTTACTAACCTCTTAGATCTTATTTACAATGAAACGTTTCCATGATTCATTGAATACCGGTGGACAGCCCTACCGAAAGCGTAGCCGGGAAGAATTGAAACTAAAGTCAGGTAAAATACTTTTTGAAATTTTTAAACAGTCCAGGCAACCTCTTTTGTATAATGTATGCGAGAGCCCGAGAATATTACGCTCGTTTGTATGGCTGTCCTGTCGTTGAAGAGTCTGATAGCAATGAAGAATCCTCAAGCTCTTCTTCTTCGTCATACGATAGCGTTCAATCCTCTCAATCAACATTAACTGATTATGGATTTCAACAAACTTTTGTGAAGAAAATTAGACCACCTGATTCACATTAGCTAATTATCTGTCTTGTAACTCTCTTTCCTTTTCTTTACTACCTGTGTAGCAGCTTTGTTGATTTAAGCTAAGAACTTTTTGTACTTATTGTGTGGAATATTTTGTGTTTAATTTTTTTAAAACCGTTGAGGTTAGTGTTGCGCTAGCCTCTGCTGGTTCGGAACCGTCAGTGCGTAACCTTTAGTTTCTTTTCCTGTATGTTTGTGGTTGTTATTAAATTTTTTGCTAAAAGATAGTTGGAAGCTGAATTTATTGGGAAATCGCTTCTGGACACTATTCTACTGATCAATCTACATCTTTGGATATGCGCTGCTGATCGTTGATCACATGATCAGCATTTTGTTAAAACGCAAGTTCAAACGGGCTTTCCGTTTACATTTTCTTTAAATTAGGTAGCCGTTCATTTCGTTAGCAGAGTGTGTCTGTTGTTTGATAATAAGCCATGATTTCTGCTTTGGAATATGTATTCTCCAAATAACAATAAGTCTTAAAATAAAGGCAATTCAGACAGGTATAAATATGTCTTATTTGTTCTTTTTTACTTCAAATTATATTGGTTTATTAGGCAAAAGGTCATGGGATCTATAATTGCGTTAGGGATGGGAAGAAGGTTAATTTTTTTATTTATGTCAGTAAAAATCACCACTGGGAAAGGCTGGATCCTCATCACTTCTTCTGAGTCCGGATGCACTCGTAGTTTCCATGGAGACGGAGCTCTTTAAATCGTTTCCACGTTCGACAGCCAATGAGGCGTCGACACCGGAGTCTGTAGCTTCCGTTGAAACATGGGATATCTCTGTGGTGGTGTCCCTTTCACCAGCTTGGTTAATTGCACTTGCCCCAATTGGTACGAATCCCCTCAGCTCATTGTTGATGCGTTCTAATTCCTGAAGGTAATTTGTCTCTGTTGAAGATTTGCTTCGTGCAAATGTTAAATTTGCACTACCAACGCTACCTTGTCTTCCAAATAGCACGTTTTCCATGTCTAAAACAAAGCAGCAAAATCATTTCTACTGAAAATAATATAAATAGCTAC